TTACAGTCCAGAAACTTTTCGTCCCTAGAGATTAATCTGCTTTATTTGAGAACGACGCTCTTCTCGTGGCATGTATTCGATTCTCCAATAATAATATATTAATGAAAGGGATGCTGCTTGCCAGAATATATAAAACTTATACAAAAGGCCAATCTCTATTCGAGGTACTCAATGACTATTTGCCAGAAAACTTCATCACAATGCAGAACATTTTTGCAGGTGCAACACGTGGTGTTACCGCAATAGTCGGAAGATATGGAGTATCAACTGCCCTTCTAAAAAATGCTCTCTCATCTGTTCATACAATGCATGGTGTGATTCACTGAGAGCACCTAGTGTCTAAGAACGTGGGAGGGCGCTTAAACGAATCACTGTCAAGATTTATAAGAGTTAGTAACAATATCAACCCGCAGGCTTTTCAAGGTTGTCCTTCTTCCAGTAGTTGTGTGAGTAAAACAATGAAAGTTACCAGGTTCTACTTTTGCCTACAGAAGTTAGATGGCACTCCAAGGGCAACCGTATTTCTCATGTTGTTACACTCGGGGACATTATCATCACATTTATTTCTGGAACTGATTATGAAAGAAAACTGTTAACAACCAAGCCAGACGTGTTTAATTTGGCTGTCGATTTCGAAAACCACTTATTGCATAAAAAGCTTCAACTTGAATAACCCCATCTCGAGCAGACATCAAATTACCGCTTTTCTTAAATATCTGGAAGTATATGCCCAGGACATCGGACGTCGGGCAATTGTCATCGTGCCTAGTTGATTTTTTGCCAGCCATTTGCATGAATTTCGAAAATAGACGAAAGGTTTCATGACCTGATTGACATGAAAATCCAGATTTGGATTTTGTATCAATTTGATTTAAGGGGCCCTGCGATGCTGGAGCTGTAATCCTGGAAAGTCTTATAGAGCTTAAAAATGACACACTAGCAAAATAGAACTTCCGGCTATATAAGAGGGATTTTTGTATACACTGATGCCCCAAACTGTGGAAAATCGCTGAAATATATTTCTTTGCTTTTCCATCCACATACATGGTTGTATATAGATTCAGCACACTGGTTTCTCTAACCAAAATTAGAAACAGATTGGAGGAGAGATTCCACTCTCTCTGTCAAGTGTGGAGCCGGACGCAAAGAAGCTTGCTCAAGGTCATGCAACTGGGGCCCCGGTTGCATATAAGCGAGGCCACGTAAAAACTCTCCTCCACAAGGTCAGGCGGATTTGCAGTCCGGAATTTCTCAAGGCTGAAGAAGAGATTTTATACCGGACTTTGCTAGCCAAAGGGTATCCGGAGAAATTCATTCAGACCCATAGCAGACCCCCCAAGGAGAAACTGCCAGTACATACAGCGGAGAAGGACGTTTATTTGTTCTTACCGTTCAAGGGGGATCACGTGGCAGATGAAGTTGGTCACAAACTCAGGTCCGCTCTAATGGGCACTTACTCTACCGCCGAACTACGACTTATCCACACAACACGAAGGATTCCTCTCCAGAGCCCTTCGAGTAGCTCGCCAATCAGTTCGGCCTCCAACTTCATCTATCAGTTCACTTGCAGTTGCGATGACACTTACATGGGCAAAACTGATCGCCGGCTGGCTCAAAGGGTGGCGGAACACTTCCTATTGTGGCTAAGACAGATGCTGTTTAACCAAGGCGTAGCGGACCAAAGAATGAACCTGAACCCTGCCTCCTCTATCACCAAACACTTCATGACAACTCGTCAACTGGTGAACCCAATCGACTCATTCAAGGTGTTATTGAGCAAAAGGAACCCGACGTTGTTCGCAATTGGCCAGACGCTACGGTTAAGCTTGAATTGTCCCGTGCTGTGTGCCCAGAAACAATTGAGGCAATCTATTAGATTGCCTTGAACCTGTTACGTCATTCCCATCAGTTTTATCTGCTTATTTATGTTACTAAGTGTGGACCCTATTTATTGCGTGTTTTGTTCTGCCTGTATTGCGTAGCGACTGACGAGAACAATCGAAATGTTAACATATCGCAACCTATGTCTTTTTACTGCCTTAATGAAATGGTTGAAGGGGACGCAGTGTTTCAAATGTTGTGTACTTGCAGACAAGTGGCTTGATGTTGCCGCTCAATGAATGTTATCCTGAAGCTGTGAAAGTTAAAATTTGGATTTATTAGCGAAACAGCAGTGATACTAACACTACAAATTTGGCCATCATCACAAAAGATACCAATATGACCAATGGAAATCGAAGATTTACGTTTGGTAGGTGTTGCGGATTTCTGAATTTGTGGTGATCAAGGGTGAGGGCCATGAGAAATGGAAAGGATCAAAAGGGGGGCACGGCTGAATAAAGGTTGACAATGACTAACTTCTTAAAATTATTCCCATGCCAACTTCAGGTTATTTTGCTTTCCATCATGCAAAACATAGGCGCATCGATGAGTTGGATAGGTGGGATTTAATTGTGATTTTTTCTTCATCTAAATAGCTTCCCACTGTACTCATCCTTAGCTTGATGACCCACTGATGGCATTTGAAAAATATGCGTACATTAGTTGGTTGGATAAGCAAGCTTTTTCCTAAGACTTCATATGGTGCTTCCTTTCTATCACACAGCAAGGTGAAAGGCATGAGTGACTGCAAGACGTATGGACCCACTGAAAGGGTGAATTGTTGATGACTGCAACTAACCCACCAAATTTATGTACACAATTCCGTTTGCCAAGTCTTATCACAACTTACCCTTTGTGTGAGGTAAGTCGTTAGTTCTAATTGATTAGTTTCATGCTGGATGCACTTCTGCTTTATCGTCTGTCGTGTTATCGTGTCTGCTCACACACTTTCACTATTTATTATTTATTGTTATATACCAATGATATGCATCCTTAAATTACACTTTGCATGTACATATTGTCACTCACCTTCTAAAACTTTGTTATTTTGCTTTCTTATCCCAACCATCCGCCTAAATGCAGCTGAACGTTTTGCAATTGTTGTGAATTCCGACGAATTTGAAACGAAATCAAGGGCGCAAGAATCAACAGAATTGGAACCCCCAAATGTTTTTGTACGGCAATTTCGTAAAACCATTCCGCATTTCCTTCGTACCTATGATCGGACCAGCTTGGCTTGGCCGTGCCTCAGCTAGTTGAGAATAAACCAATTAGAAGTATAAAAGTAATCTTTCTTTCTCTCTTTACCTTTGCTGCGCACTGCTACTTGGTATCACACTTCCGGAGAAAATAACTCATAAAACTAGTGGCAGTTCTTGATGCTCTGTGAAGTCCACTTTCCACATCATTTGCTCTACAACTCGATTGTCTGGAATCGCCGGATCTATTGCAAAATCTTTCACAAAGCCGTTTTTCCTTAATTTTTACTTTTTCTATGTATTCCCTATTTAAAAGCTGAAGCAGAACTTGTCCGCTATATACCAGTCATTTAGCATTAATTGTATTTCGTCACCTAGTTTACTTCTTTTTTCCATTGTTGTCTACGAATGGGCCGATCTCCTGTGGCGATAGACTATAGCTTCCGGATTATTTAATACACCCACGTGTGACGAATTGTCCCAGACCTATTGGGGAGAAAAAATATGCCTATCCAAAGCGAATTAGTACATAATCATTGAGCGGAATATGTGTCAGACTTGAAAGAGTCAGATGACGAAACGGGCTGAATAACCTAAGATAATATTAAAAAGACACAAAATACATGACAGCTCACTTAGCTTTGCTAGCCTATTACTCATTATATATAAGAACGACTATAAAAAAGAACTAGTACGGCTCGTCTGCTGTTATGCCACACTGACACGAAGCCAAATGGGACGTGGAAGTGTGGATGAAACCTTTCGAGGGAATACCCGGCGTCGAAGCAGACTCCCAGGAGTCGATTTCACGGATAGCCGTATTAATTCTATTATGCATTTTTCCATACCTGCTTTCATCCTACACTTAAACTCTCCTTCTTTTTACTATTTATACCAATTGAACTCCCTATATACTTGATTTTACACTCCCGGAAAATCTGAAATAACATGTGCACTTTGAGATCATGTTGTACCGTATGATCAATCCAAGTTTTGTATTAGAAATCGCACAGTCGAGAAATACACATACTTATATGCAGGCGTGCATTGCCGTGTCAAAAAAAACAAATTATGTCTTTATTGCGTGAGTAGACGATATTCCAAGAATATTACTTTCGTAGCAAAAGCTTGGTGAATATTCACAACTGCTCGACGCACAGTACAGAAGATAGTTGAAGTGTTAACCGTGGATTCAGCGCTCAAGGTATCGTATACAACCGCTTCTGTTTCTCTGGCCCATAGGAAGATATTTATAAACCTACTGTCTGTTAATGATGAAATAACATCTAACTTTGGACGGTTGAATATAATTTTCGAAAGCCGACTACTAGCACGCGCGGACCGTTACATTGTATGACGTTTTAAACAAAATCCCATGCGTGAGGCATGTACAAAACTCTTAACAACGTTAACACGTCGAATTTGCTCCAACCCCACAGTTATCAATCATGTAATGTGGGCATAATAACAACTAGACGGTAGATGGTTTTTTCGTCCTTCAAAGATTTCACACTGGTGCGAGCTTCATTCACATCCCCTGTAGGACCCTAATATACTAAAAATATGTCTTGTAACTTTGGGACGCTGGTGGTACTATATTAGATAAAACTATGACCCAGAAAGCTTAAGAGAGTTCGTAAAATCCTTTTAATATTTGTTCGAAAATGGTCACCCTGGCGCATGTCAAGCTCTTTCTTCAAACAAGAACTTACATGCACTTTGAGCCACCCGTCTAATAAACATCATATGGCATTTAGGACCGCAAAGCTTGAAATGATCCACATTATTTACACTATTTGCCCGAATGTAACACAAGTATGTTAGCTTATCCGTGGGAACTTTCGTCACCAACTGAATCTATCGTTGCTTTGACAAAGGCATACACTTGGTTCAACCCTGAATTTGGACACTGAAGTTTTGTCAACTTGTGAAATTACGAATGTGGTTAAAAAATACTGAAAATTCATCAACCATCATCGGATAACACTTGAAAATCATTATTAAATGACTCACTCGACCGGCTTTGATAATAAAGAAAGTTTCACCAATTTCTCCCTCACGTATAATATACTCGTCTGGTCCGTAGTAAATCTGTGGAATAAAAGGAATACCTACGATACTGAAACTGACGAGATGGAGAAGTTTTGACGCATGCTTGGCATTGTTATATGTTGAAGTCTCCATCTGGATGGCATAATAACCAACTGAGAACTACACCGGTTGGACACAGAAACCCATAAGATTTCCGATGGTACTTTGTTAGACACGGTCTTTTGGGTATGTCTCTAAAAGCAGTAACCAGATAGTCGAGGCATGGTACTATAATATTCGAGGTCTTGATGCTAGTGACACAATCAAACCACTACTGCTTTCCAACTTTATCAATACAGAGGAACCACCGATATAGAATCCGTGTGTCAGATTCTAGCTGTCCGTTGAAGTAAAACTAGCAAGTTGACCTAGAACATTTATCCAATTTCTCTAAGCGAAGTTCTTGGCTGGATACTTTATATGGCCCTATCTTCGTTCACCAGTGAACTTCATCGTGGCTTGTCGCATGGCAAATCTCAGTGGCTCCCCAAGCTGAGGCTTTTTCCCTGTGCAAACATCTTTAAGGACTTCCCGTACCAGATATGATACTGGCCAATCATCAGATGGGCTTTGAACGGAGGACCGCGTATTTCGGGGTACAACCAGCGCCACAGTTTAGGGAAATATGCAGCGCATACGACTTACAGTGAGAAACTATCCATTGCCTTGCGCGCTTCAATGTTGGTTGCCGCCATCACACTGCATAGAACAGGATCCCTTTGTAACCCTTAGCGCTATTTATGTCGTTTGGGCTGTTTGCCAAAACCACTCTGAGCATGTTCTAGGCGGGGTCTTGTTTAAATGACAAAGTACCTGTACACTTTAAGTTCAGGCAGTTTAAGTGGGTACACCAATGCCGTGGAATTAAATGTCTCCAGTTCAATTGAGTAACCACGCCAATGCGCCTCATGCGTCACATCGTCGTCGCACTTAATCTGTACAGGTGCTTGTCAGCTTGGGTCTTAAAAAGGCTGCCTTGCCGAACAACCTCCTCGTGATGCCAGCTGAGTGGTTCGGGATTTTCCCGTTCCAGCAAATGGTTTGGCGGTAGTGTTCTAGGACGTGGTAAGTTTTCGCCTGGCAATCGTTCTCCCTATAAAACCCACATATGTCCGTTTAACTACACTGTGACGTAGCGGACATGACTCACCACTAAGTAAAGTCACTGCCCCTTGCTTCATCCTAGCAAAGCATTGTATTCCAGCAAATTTATGCTGTAATTATGGGGGGCTTTGGGCTCCTGTTTGACAAAGGAACAAACGAAAGGCGTATGAACTGAGCAATCAGTCACCGGCTCCCAATGGGCGCGATTCCCTGAATTCGCTCCGCTGCCTTGCGGGCAGACTATTCAGCCAAAGGCTCGGGGTGGTGTCCCCTAAGTCACCTCCCCACTTCACCTTGGGAAACCGGGTAGTATCTCGCCCTCTGACGAAACCATGGACTCTAATGTGTTGTGTTGTGTTTTCTTTTACCATTTCTGTACCTTCTTTTGTGTTTCATGGTTTCTGATGACTCCATGTCTATTCATAGACGGTAGAAAAAAATATACATATGTTTTAAAAATCTGATGGCTTTTTCTGACTGATATCTGTAGTCTAGTTTTGCTTTGTCTGAATGTTGACAAGGCGCCAGCCTAAGAAAGATACATGAGTTCGTATATATATGGACAAGCTATCACATAGGTAGTGTAATGTTTTATGTGGCTTAAAATAAGATAATAAAAGTAAAAGATGAAGAAAGGACTTCCGGGTCATGTATATTGCATTGGATCATGGACCCAATTACTGAAAATGCAAAACATAAACATATTTGTATACCTGATTTCAAAGTTTCTGGGTAGTAAAACTGCGGTGGGTTAGAAGTAGCGTAGGAGGCAAATGGTTGATTTCATGTATAAGGATAAAGAGAAGCTAAGCAGATTGTACGCCACTGACTGCACTTACGTTGTTAAAACGGCTGCGCGCTACTGACGAGTCCCAATAGGACGAAAAGGCCGTCTAGCGCTTTTCTGGATGTATGGTGGCTGTCTTCCAGTGTCTAACTGCGACGCAGCTAAACTAAAACCCAATAAATCCTCTTACTACTTACGCATAAGTAGTAGTCGCCTTAGCAGCTTACATGTCACCTCAATTGGTGGTGGCTTGCAAAGGAAGTCGGTGCTCTGGGGGCCAGCCCTGTCCTCTACACATTCATAATATTCAAGACAGTCTATGATGAGCCGCGTTATATCGCAGTTAGATATCAGTCATGGCGGTCCGCTGCCGTCGCCCATGGCTCAGTGATATACGTCGCTGACTCGCAAGTGTAAGGTCGTGGGTTCGAATCCGGTAGGATTCGGCAGGTGCGCGCTACTGACGAATCCCAATTGGACGAAACGGCCGTCTAGCGCCTTCCTGGATGTGTGGTGGCTGTCTGCTTGCGTCTAACCGTGACGAATCTACGCTAAAACTAACTTCTGTCTATTGTGCAGGCGACTGTTGTGAGCCAAGTGTCCTTAACACACACGGTTTATTGTGAAAAGTCCCCAGATAATTTCCGAATTAACAAGATTGACGCTTGTGCGTACGTGTGGTGGTAGTTAGTCTCACAGATTGACATATCTCGCTAAAAGTAGGTCAATCGGCTTTTATGACTAGCAAGCTACCATCTCGCTTACACTGGTTCCAGGCGAATGCTAGTTTTGGTTGCGAAAGAGAAAGTGCGCGGTCTTTGTGACCGTGATGGCCCCAGAAAGTGGTTCCATCTCGCCACTGCCTTGTGTACCCCCGGTACGCATGATTCCCTACATAGATTGACGGGATTGCTGCTGCTCTACATGTTGAAAGATTGCGGGCCGGCTCCGTTGATGAAACGTGGCTCCCATCCACATAACACCCGGAATCTTCTTTCGGCCTTACACTGGAGATGGTGTGTGTCGATGGTGGTGCAACGCAAGCCACCCACGCTCCCACAGCGAGCGCGGGCGTAATGTAGCTATTCGCACACCTAGGAAATCCGGAAACAAATATCGACAGATACATGGTGACACGTTGACCATAGTAATTTCTAATGACATGTCGCGAGCCAGTCCAGTAAACTGCTAAATTCACCTAGTTTAGGCTCCCTGTCCTCATACTAACAGAGTGAGTCGTCGCTTCGCGCTTTGGGTAAGAGGTCTGGAAAACAGTCTGGGGCTGAAAGCGCAATGATAGCTGACGAATCCTATTTATGCTTTCTAATGAGTCTACTCATGTTATCCAACTGATTGCGAGCATTCAGTTGACTATTTTGTGAGATGAAATAACAGCTCACCCAGACGGGCAATAAAACACATCAGCTCCAAGAACGTTCACGGAACGAGTTAGGTATCTAAGAGGGTATGACTTAAACCAGAAATGGATATACACATACCCACTGACGACGCTGTAAAACTGCGTATTTTAGTCTCATCCCCATTACAGTTAAACTCGGGATGTCGAGTAAGTAATAAACGATGGATGGACCGCTGCGTTACATATTCCATATGAAAACACGTCATATTCTCACTCCGGGGACATTCCATCGTATGATTTCCACTTTCACTAGGAGTTTGTTCTGTGGTAGCAACTTTCCTGAACGACGATCTCACAGTCCCAGTTTGTTGTTAAACATTTAGTACCACGGATAAAGGGGAACGAGGAATCCATAAACCGACAACGTTTGTGGATAACACTGTGTCCAGTTGTATTGGCATACTGGATCGGATGAACCGTATTGGTGGTATCTCAAATCGACTACTTTGCGTGTGGCAACGAAGTTGTGACTACGCGTGATACCAGCTACTCGTCGTGCCGAATGTGAAGCACGATGATCGTGCCATGCATGCCAGCCCCTGCGAAATAAGTCTCACATCGATTTCCGTCGAACGACTGAAAGCTTTCGATCCAGGGCAATTTTCTGCTCCGGATGAGCTTATGTGACTCAGACCATCATGTTACACCAATGGGTTGAATATTACTGTAGACTTACCGTTGTCGACCTGCCAGATAAGCGATCGTTATTCGACCCGTCTATCGACCTGCTATACGCCGTTGCTTCCTGAAGTGAGTTTGAACATTATACAAATGTAGCTTATTTGGACTTACCGCACATGGCAACCCTGTTTACCGGCCGGTAGTATTTGCCCTATAAGATGATGGGCAACTGTTGACTTTTTGGACATATAAGCTGTGATCAAAGATACTCCGTTGACAACCACTATTCGACCAAGAAGTCGTCTGAATTACACTCATGGTTTCGTGTTGCTTACTGATAAGTTCATAGAATTCGTTGGAAACCGGTGAGCAACTGAAACAACTATGAAAGATCAGTCTTCTTCTTCTTCAACAAATGCAGAGTTACGTTTCAGCACTGAAAGACGGAAATCCCATGAACTAATTACTCTGCCTGATAGGTAGCTTCTAGTGTCGCGAAAGTGTGCAAGCTGCCGCAAAGCTGCGACATCCAGGAGGTCGTCGGAAACTGTCTGTTACATTAAAGGTAATGGTTTACAAAACCACTTTATGATGCTACTGTACAGACTCGAACAGGATACTATAGAGTTGGGCCTGAGTTCGGGGAATGCGGTTCTACTCTCTTCTGAAGCGGGTCAATCCCTTCTGCATATGCTACAATCGTTTAGCAAACCGTGACATATTTGCTTTCCAAGACTGTACTGGAGGAACTAATGTGATGGCCTCCGGCTAGCGTTGATTCTGAGAGTCCTGGCACCCATGATAAAGAATACTGTTGGCTTGGAATGTGCAGAAACAGCGTTGATAATGCACTGACGTAACAATGACTCTAATTCGCATACCAAGTTACATAAGATAACGTTTCTAAAAAGCAGTAAATATTTAACAGTAGTCTCCCGTTTTTATCCCAATCAGACATTCATATAATTTGTCTGTTTTAATTTGTAAAACTGAGCAGTTACATAGCCGTCCTGGAGGAAGATATATCTATCACTGCTGGTAACTGTTTCCAGATTTTCTTGCCACTGG